TTTTTTTTTTTTTTTTTTTTTGTCCTGTTAGGTATGCCATTCAGGGAAGGAGAAGGAAAGGAAGACTTATCAAATTAACAACTACAGAGCTTATTTCCCAACATTTACTACCAGGCCAAGTACTTACCAACTAATACTGGCCTACTGAAGTAAACAGGACTATGGAGAACATCAAAGTTCTATACCAGGTGGTAACCATTAGCAGGATCAGTATAGACAAGTACTAAAACCTGATGAGTTTCCAGTAGTTTAATTATACCAATTTGAAATGCCGCACTGTAGCAGTGCAGACACTGCAAACCAATGCAAGCTGCACTGGCACAATCCGTTTTTACACTACATTGGGTTTTTTACTAATAGAAACATCCTCAGAATATGCAAAAATAATTTGGTTTAAGGCTGTAAGTGGGTGGAGTGAAAGTGGAGGACACTTATGGTTTGGATTTCCAGAAATGCTCAAGTGCCTGGCTCCTAGGTCATTTAAGTACACCTAAGAATTCTGTATGCATTTATGTATTGTAAAACAAATAATACAAAGAAAAAAAATCTGTCATCTTCTAGCACAGCAGAACACAAACCCCAAGGGCAGCAACACTGCTGTTCTGAACACCATTGCAGTGATTGGGTGTGTGCGCGCATAAGAGACAGGACCATAACACAAGAATACGGATGGTGTCCTGCTGGTGGCCAAGAACAATAAAAAAGCACTATATACACACACAAGTCACTGTGACATGCAAAAAAAAAAAAGCACAACTGCAAACAAAGATTATTTTTGCTCAACCTTTTCCAATTTGATTAAAGGGCAAAGACGGTAAGGAAAAACAAAAACCAAAAACAACACAAAGTAACCAAAAAGCAACTTTACCCCACCAAAAAAACCCATCAAAAAAACAAAAACTTTACTTTAGCATGGCAGGGCTCCCAGTTAAGCCATAAATCAGCAGCCCAAAGCAGTTTAAAAATACTGAGAGACTGAGCTTGAGTCTTTTCACAAAGCTGGTTGACCAAAGAGGACACCCTGAACATCTTGTGTCCACCTCATCTGCTAATTTACTGAGGGAGCAACATAATGAATGCTGAAGTAAAGGCTTGAGCAGTGGAGGGGAGAAGACAAGTTATCATCTGATAGGGGTGTTTCCCTGCTTTGCAAATACCACATCTTATACTACATACAAATTATGGTTAACAGAGTGGCTCATGCATGCAAAGGACAACTAAACGTGCGGCCACCTGCAGCTGGGGAAAAGTCGGACCAGGTCTTTAGCAACACAGACTTGGCAACCTTGCTTTTAGTACATAAATCAACACACTGCCTTGTTGAGAGTTCTGCCAGGCAGAAGAAAACGGAAGACCCTGTGGTGTGAACTTTCACTGTTCATCCTAACTGGGTGCTAATTACAGCTAAGTCTGAACTATTTGCATACTAACTTCATTAAGCAGCCTAACACCAAGGTGTCTCATCTCCTGGCCCATACCAGTATCCTATCGCTGTGTAGAAGGTATTTGTATAGATGCCTCCTAATATTTGTCACCTCACTGGTGTCAAGTGGAAAAATATATTTTTCAGGTCTGGCTTTTAACTTGACTCACAGGAGCCTAAGTCCTATTAATGCAGCTGGTGCATGGTTTACCCAGCTTTCCTAATTCAAACAACATTTACTACAGCCAACACTTTGTTCACTTGTAGAAATCAAAGCTCCCTAACTTTATATTCAATTAGAACCTAAACATGGCCTCAAACCCAATTTTTATGGAGAGAAGAAAAGAAATAAGCCTAGAAAACAAAACAAAACAAAAAAAAAACAAAAAAAACCGACACATGGGCATTTTTAGGCCTCAGTTATTTGATTGGGTGCGTTTAGTCCCCTAAAAAAAACCCCCAAACCCTGCTTTATAAGAAAAACACGTTTAAATGTTTTCTGTATTTCTCACTGAGCTTATATTTCTTAAAAGTTGTTTAAAATTAATGTAAATACTACAGTGCCTCTACTACAGCCAACAAGGAGGATGTATATACCACAAACACACACACCACAGGTTTTGATTAAATCTGCTTTACAACAAAATGCTTTAAAGCAGCACCCAAACCTGGAAACGGGTATACATTTCAAATCCTACCAGAACATTGCTTGCACAGCTCCTGTAACTTTTGGTTAAGCACTACTAAACAGCAAGCCATTCTGGCTCCAAGGAGGCTGCCTCTCTCCCATCTCGGATTCTATAAATCACTTCTGGCAGGTAGCTGGGAAGCAGCTGCTAATGATAGTTTTGCTCTGGAGCACAGGAAGTCACCTTTTAACCCTGCCTGCTGTTGTTTGTCTCTCAGAACTGTGACAAAAGAACAGATGCGAACAACATGCCAACTGTCAAGAGGATCTGGTCAAAACTCAACAGGAAACCTGTCCAGACCCACACCACGCTGATCATCTAATGGGAATGCAACAAAATTCATCTCATACCACCTTTCCACTGAGGGTCTTTCCCCCACCCCCTTACATTCACAGGATTTGACTGAATGTTTCCTGCTCAAACCCTCAGTTATCCCAGATGTGCTGAGAAAAGTAATACATGTTTTTTGTTTTTGAAACGAGGAATCAATTAAATATTTTCATGCCTATGAAATGCAGTGGCAAAGTACATCTGTGTCAAAGGACATTTGCTACTTTTACCTTTAGATTTTGAATATATTCTCCTTTTAACTTCCCCATTACCCAACCCGCTAGTGTCTTATGACAAAGAGTGCATTTACACAAGATGCAATGAACGTGTGGGGGGGGGAGGGGAGAGTATGAGAGAGATTGGAGCCGAGCAAATAATTCACAATGAATACTTTCTTTGATTAATTTTGCTTCTCTGCTCACAGAATATCCATGATCAGATTGCAGTTTCATCTCATGCATTCACATTTTTTCGCTGTAAGAAAGGGCATGCGACAATTTCTTCCTGTGTTTTTGGGAAAAACTCCAAACACATTTTAGATGCTGCCACAAACTAGATGTAAACAATACAAAATAGGGAATCTTGGGCAGTTTATTATTTAATTGTTAGTCAGGTAGATCATATATTCCTGTTCATTTCTTGATCCAAATAAACTTGTATGTACTCCTGATGCTCCTGTTTACACTAAAATTTGGCTTCTGCAGATAGTCATATAATTAATTTCACTTCTTTCCTATGGAAAGTGTGCACTAGTAACAACTCAGCTCCTCTAAAGCTTGCAGAAAGATAAAACAATATTGGCATGAACACCTCTTCAGCCAAGTCATTTGAAAACTTAATTTCTGTTGGCAGTTGAGGGAAGAGGGGGCATTATTTGCTTGCCTGTCTCTGAAAGACTAAACATTTGCTCTACAAATGTTCCAAGACTATACTGCTGGTAACGGGCAGCATTTAGAAAGCCAAATTTTCTTTGGGGTAGAGGGAGCAAGAAGTTAACAGAGATGTATCACTCACAGATGTTAAAAAAAAAAAAAAGTCATTTGTTGACTAAAGTTGCAGGCTGGAAGCCATTTCATAATGTTAAAAGGATCCTTCTTGTCTAGGTGCGCCACAGTGCTAAAACATAAGAACTTCAAATGAACTCTACTTACTGTAAAGACATCATCATCACCAACCTCAGCTTCATTGTGGATTGTTGAAGAGGAAGTAGTTGATCCTAAGAAAAAAAAAACAATTTTCAAATAAGATTTTTTTTTTATATTAAACTACTGGCTATCTGGACTCTGACTTTTTAATACACATTATGCATATTCTGAATACCTATTTTTCAGGTGAACTAGACTGATACAACATGAAGTTACCAGGTGTTTCCAAATTAGTAAAGAAAGAACAAAAATTCTCTCTTTTGCTAGGTGTTAGGTGATATTCAGAAGGTTTCTTAAAATGATGCTGCAGTAACCAATCCTATTTCAGGATGGTAGAGCTTTAAGTAGCACTCCTGATTATATACCATTTTACTTTTCAAAGGGTAAGTCTCTACAAGACACTATGGCACCGTAGCGTCCGTTGGCAAAAACCGTGATGCCGCCACTATGCTGTTGTAGCAACGTGCTCCCTCATTATAGCGCGTTGCTGTGGTGACATTGGCCACACAGTTATTTTTGGCCGCTACAAGGCGCAGTATGCGCTGTTACTGCACCATCTTTTAGTACTTCCAAAAGGAATTACTAAGTGACGGCACAGTAACAAAAGAGCTGCACGGCCACGTATAGATGAGTCCAAATTGTGATAAAGCAGGCCACTAAATAAACATTCAGGGCTAGACCTTTACTTAAAGTCATTAAGTGGAGCTTCAGTGAATCACACCAACTGATCTGGTCCCAAATTCAGAAAAACTTAATGCTTTCACTTACAAAATAAAGCTCAGATTAGATAAAGAGCTTTCTTTGTGGTTCACAGAGCAACTAACTACACTGAAGGGTTTTTTGCCTTATACGCTATTTGTCTCATATTTGTCCCTTTCCTTCCATTTCCCTCCCCCCATCTAAGCAAAACATTGAAGAGGGAATATATGTAAGAACAAAAGCAGAAAAAAATTGAGGTGTAGCTCTTCTCATTAACCCTGCAGTAACCATTAGGAATCTATCCAATAATTAGTAAACTGCATCCAGGAAGCTTTAAGTTTATTTAACATTTTATTAATTTCAAACTGACACAACAATATTCAAGCTTTTAAATATACATACTCATACAGCTACTACTGAACCCTGATAATCACAGAATAACTTCTAGCAAGACTCTCTCAAAACAAACTTGTACTGTTACTGTTTGAATTCTGATTCTTTAGTTACCTATTTAAGACTTGATAATGTACTGTGGTAAGCAATGAATTACCTTAATTCTGAAAACAGATTTTAAAACAGTGATTTTAACTTTGGTGTGTTAATACACCATAAGTTGATTATTAATTAAAGTTAGGAGGTGAAAACTGCATTTCCTCCAAAACATAAGGGTATTATACCTTGAGTATGCTAGGTAGAAACTCTACCCCTCCATGCTTATAGAGCTGAAGATATTACTGTGATAGCAAAATGACAAAAGTCCTACGTAGTATTTCAGGAAATAAGCTAAGTGTTAAGTTTTATTTCTAAAAATGAGTTATTTAATATAATGAAGCTTCACATACATCTTCTTGATTGTGATAATATGACCAGATTTAACAGATAGCACTGAATGACAGCGAAACAAATTCAAACTTCACTATCGTCTACACACACGTTTGCATGCACATATACATGTACAGAAAGAGACAGGGAGAGACAGAGAGAGAGAACACTAGTTATTAGTTTTAATCTGGAAGTTAAATAAAAATGCACTCAACAGAATCAGTCTGTTCTGTTAACGTCATAAATACAGACAGCACTGATTTTGAACATTTCCTAAAACATAGCAACACTAAGTAATTTACATGTGACTCCTGAATTTGACTTGTTTCAGTACATCTCAAATTAGGGAATAGTGCATGTGAGTGATACTATTTAACCACAATCTCCCTTAAATAGAGGGTATGTGCATTATAAACATATTGGGCACCAGCATGAATGTGTTGCACTAATTACATAAGATACCACATGTAACACCTAAAGAGCTTATGGTTTAAGTTAGGCAAACATGAAAAAGGAACAATTCAAAAATATGGGAGTAGTATTAGCTCTGACTGTCACTAGCCACGTGCAGGAATTATGTTTCTACTGAGAGAATCCTTGCTTTCCTAGTAGAAACTATGATCATGAAAGCGTCCATTCAAATTTCTCCCTGGGGAAAACATATTCCCTTCCAGGGGAAAGATCTTCCAGGTGTCAGCCTGGAAAATATCCCTGGTGAGAGAAAGTCTCTTGCAAAAATGAATGCTTGTACACTCCCCTCTGGTTTGGCAACAAAGATAAACTTAGCAAGGAGCTGTAAAGGGCCTAAAAAACACATGGTCAGGAAGTTGAGTGCCATATATTAATAGTGAGGGCAGCTGAAAGCATTCACCAATTAAGAACCAAAAACATAACATACCAAGCTTTCAGAGCAAATATCCACAAAAACAAAACAACACTCAACACCATAGTTTTTCACATACATGTCCTCAAATAAAATAAGCACCATATTTTTGGAAGGCAAAATGTAGGAAAAAAACCAGATGGTTTCCAGAGTCACAGCCAACTGTGTGACTAAGTCCTCCTGGGAGCACCGTGTTGAAGAAGCATGGCACCAAGAGGTTCAGGGTGTCAGCTGCTTCACCCAAACGGTCTCCTGGGATACCATACTGCCTGGACATGGTCTCCAGGAGGACTTACTCTAAGACACACAAGGCTAGGCCCCAGACCCTTGAAAGGGCAGTAAGCAAGACTATGACAGTACTACACTTTACTGTTCCTGATCAAACACACACACTGTACTGAGGGGGCTGATTTGGGGGCAAAAGATGCATGTTGTATGTGAGAAAAAAGTGTGCGTGTGTGCACGCACACTTCAAAGATGAGCGGAAGGGAAATAAAAAACCCCCATGACAACTCTATGAGCAGGAAAACCTGTATATACAATGCTGTGGTCATAAAACCAAAGTAAACAAAACAAATAACTAAAGACCAAAACACCACCCTGAAGGATTATTTTTCATTGAAACAAAATAAAGGGATGGAATTACAAAATGACAGATATATATATATACACACACACACACACACACACACACACACACACACACACACACACACACACACACACACACACACACACACACACACACACACACTTTTTTTTGATTCAAGTTTGATTAAAGCAATGCAAAAAAGGAAGAGTTTCATAACCACTTCAAAGTGTGGGAAATTAACTTACAATCATGATTGAATTAAAAAAAAAACACCAAAAATAAAGTCCTTAAGCACTATAGTTCTCCATCTAAGTAGAAGCAAAAAACCAATTATCATAAAAAGAAAATGTTATTTATTCAAGTCTATAAGAAAACTCATAAAGCAAACAATTTTTGCAACATACAAACAAACAGCTTTTTTGTTGCAGGGAAGAAAAGTGACCCAAATGACAAGTTATGAAACAGTTTTTAGGGCTTTTTTTGGGGGGTTGCTAATTAGTTAGACCTATAAGTAGATACCCAAGGCATGGAGGCTGCCCCCTGATTTTGCAGGCAGAGCGCTGGCCCAGGCAGCCATTTTGTGGGTGGAGCACAGCAAAGCCCCATGGCAGAGGGGCTCCAGTGGTCCCGACCCTTGCCACCGATTGTCTGCAAGGGCTGTCTGTCATGCAGCTCTACCCCTCACCGCCTGGTGGGGAGAGACAGGGCCATAGTTCAGGCATCCCTCACAGCCAATCATCGGTAAGGGAAGGGGGCAGCAGCCATCTTGCCCACAGCCCTTCAAGTAGGTAGACTCTCTTCCCTGCCCTGCCGGGTTGATGCGGTGCTGAGGACTGCTGGCTCCCTCTGAGAAGCCAGCATTTTCTTTTCCTTGGGTTTCCCACCCCCTTTTTTCTGGGCATTGCCTGGATTTCATAGGCAAAGATGGATTTCATGGAATCCACGAAATCGTGAATTTTGTAGGTCCCTAGGCGTAAGAAATGCACTGTAATAGTTTAGGTCTTGGTGGACCAAGCTAGATAAGGTGGGGCACTGAAAAAGCATTTGCATTGTTCCTTCCCCAAGGGACTACTAACCTAATTCTCTATTGAACAAGAACTAAACTTATTTTAAAGGCTAACTGGTTGACACTGCAGCAAGAAATGTGAGAAATGCATTCAAGTCAAGTTTGAGGTCCGGCTGTGTAACCCCTCCTCTTGAAAGAAAGAAACAGAATGCTGATATGTGCTCCAGTACCTTCAGTGAGGTCTTCAATTGCTTTCCTCACTCCTCTATCAAATGCTCGTGCATCAGCAGGGCTTTGAAAAGTGAGCCCAAACTTCCTGTTGTCAACCTTCCAGTGATGAAATATAGGATTTGCTTTAGTGTAGATCAAGTCCTTTTTTACAAAGCATTCCAATACCACCTAAAAAGTTTAAGCACAAAGGGAAGGTTACATTTGTACATGAAGGGCAAGATTTTAGTACAGACCAGAATTTCCTCTTTTCTAAACATAGAACAAGCCACTTACGAATCTGTCACTCTGAGTTACACTAAGCATATCTTCCAATAGAATTTTTTGTCAAAAGCAGCTATAAGTGAAACTACAAGATTTAAAAAGTGCCAGTCTTATCATCAGTGAGGGAACTTTAAGGCCAAATTATATAATCACTTAATTTTATTAATTAAGCTTGTACTCAAACACTAGCTGCATCAATCTACACCATACCAGTTTGCAAAGTTTTTTTTAAGCTAGCTAACCACACTGTCAGATATTAGGAGGAATAAGAAAATATGTAGATGCAACTGGAAACGACAATATTCTCTCACTTCTTTAGCTCCCATTTGAATGTAAAGCATTTGTTTTTTCTGCAGGATTGGAACAAAGCTGCTGATCTAAAAAGACCATTGGAAGGAACTGAGTGTCATTTCTTAAAAGACAACTTGTCCTCGCATTCTTATTCTACTAGTGCAAACCTTGAATAGCATGCAGCATAAATAATTCATTGCAGTTTTTAAAGGCTTGCATTGCATTACTCGGTACAATGCCACCGGCTTCATGGATTCTTTACACTTCAGTTCACTTCTCACACACTCTTGTTAGATCTTCAAAAAAATAAATGTGTCAGTTTCATTTTTTTTTTTTTTTTTTAAGGAATTAAAAGGGGCCTTTCCAAATGGACACAGAACATTTAACTGCTATTTATAGGGGATAACAAAACAACCAATTACAGTTTAGTATTCATTTGAGGATGGGGTTACTTTAAGCAATGCTGAATTGGACAAAAAGAAAAAAAAGAAAAGAAAAACACCAATATGAAACACAGAAGTGTTTGATTTTGGGGGTAATTCTCTTAATTAAACAAACATAAATTGAATTAGGTTCCATTACCAGTTTGTCTCTTTGCCTTTCACCATGGATTAGAAATCTACTTCTTCCATTGCCCTCCGGGTACATGACCTTGCAGACGCCAACTCTACTGAGACCGCCTCCTTCTTGCGGTAACCAGCCCCCACTGGAGTCATCTCGGGTCATAACCACAGCTTTGACTCGTACAATATAGCTGTCACTGTAACAGTAACAAAAGAGAAAACTTTGTGAGATCATACCACCTCAGTAGTTTTATTTAGGGAAGCATTTAAAGCAGCCATCTAGCTCTCAGGTATTTGAAGAGTTTTGTCAAGAGAACGGGCGTATCACCCATAAGAGATGGAATTTATGGCCACAGCCACTCTACAAACAGCAAAAATAGCCCACTCATTTCAGAACCTCAAAACACAAACCAAATAATTGGAAGTGCTTCCAACTTCACCCCATCAGGAAGGGACCTTGAAAGGAAAGCAAGCCTTGCAGAAGTCTACAAACGTAGCCTCTGTTGGACAAAGAAGGGGCAGAAGTTCTGTCAGCAATTCCTTTTGGTTTGAACTGCGGAAGGGATTCCGATTTAAGAAATTACAGTGAGCAAAAATGCAAGGTTTTTTGTTTTTTTTGGGGGGTGGGGTGGGGGGAGAGGGGGAGTTAGAGGTGACCTCTCAGGTTGCCAGAATCTAAAATCATTACGGCTTTTTACAATCAAATTCAACATTTTAAATTTCTATTTGGAAAGTCTTCTGCCAGACATATAACATGCTCCTCTCAAGGAACAACAAACAAACCTTACAGTATCTCACAGGAACATGGTCCTTTGAGATGAGGAACAAGCCACACAACAGGACTCCTTAGGAGAACCTAAGTGCTCTGTGGCACCATGATTTGGTACATAAGATCTTGCACAGTGTCCCATATTGACCTCAATATCAAGAAGACTGGAAACAGAGTGATCTAAGAATCAGTTTGGATGCTTGATTAGATGAACCCATATACTAAGCACAGCTTATGTATCACATGCAGACTGGAATGAATGCAGTCAAGGAAATGTGAGGACTCCTAACACTGCCATACTTGTCTCACTACGTTACTGAAAGCAACAGAAGAACATCATTTAGTGTGTAAGTTCAATATTTACTTCTGTCTGAATTTCCTATGAAGGCAAATAAATGGTAGTCCTTGAAGGTAGAGTTGATACATTATTGTTATTACTGGTTGGGGGGTGCCAGTACCTTAGTAAATGCATCCCAAAAAGGGACAACCCTTGCTTTAGGGAGCTTACAATTTAAGGACAAACCAGGTAGACAAGTAGACTGTCATTGTATGCTTCCATTTACTTCACAGTAAAGGGTGTGGCAAACAGGAACTTTGGAACAAGTCATTAGGTGGCTTGATGGCCCTCCTTGTTTGGTGGAGACCAATGAAATAGTGCTGGATTACAATGGGTTCAAGCTGCCATCTTCCTCATTTGATTAGTTCCTGGCCTCTCCAAGCCCTGCCTGCCACACATCACAGCTCCAACTCTACAGAATTTAAACTGATTGGCACAGAAACCACCTAGAACTAGTCCCAAGCCAACATATACACATTAAAAGCTATTAAGACACCAGCTGTAATACCATAGAGGCTTCTAATCAGTTCAAAGGCAGCACCACCCAATGCAGTGACCTTTACACTTATGATGCAACTTGTGCACTTTTTGCAAGGGTGGAGGGGGGGGACAGTGGGTGGGGATTCAGAACACAGCAGGAAAGAAAAGTGAAACAAGCCTCTTCCACATGAATGTTAAAAAGAACGAAGAGGACAAATCAGATCACAGGCCCAAACTGTAACTGATCATCTATGCAGCCTCCAAAATCCATGCTCCTTAACATGGCAGCTAAACCCATGTGGCATTCCTAGAGGATCTTTTAAAAGAAATATCATTATTCAGGCATAAGGCACTTTTTATCTTTTTTTTTTTTTTTTTTAAAGAAGCTCTCAGCATCTGAACAGTTTGACAGTGTTTCCAAGAGCTCAAGAACATAAGTAGTGCCATACTCAGTCTGCTAGGTCTGGACAGTGGCAGAAGTGGGTGTTTTAGAGGGAGAACATTGAACAGATTAGATCTAGAGTAGAGGTGGCTAACCACTGGTATGTATGCCACAAGTGGAATAGGCATCTTCTGTATGTGAGAGATCGGAGAGGGAACAGGAAGCACCAAGTCAGATAGGGCAGAGAGAAGAAAACAGAGAAGCACCTCAGGCAGGGGAAAGGGATTGGACTTGCAGAGGGTGCAGGGATTATCTTGTGGCACTCCTGCCAAAAAGGGCAACTTCCCACTGATCTAGAGTGATGCAAGTAGATGAGCCCGTACACCAAGCACAGCTTATAAACCATACCCAGGCTGGAATAAATGCAGCATACCCTGTTCATTACCTCTCCCTAGCATCCACCATCATTGGTTTAGAGATGCCAGAGGATACATCTGACTGGGATGACAAGAACAGTCCTTTCCCACCCGATGTCCAGAGAAGCAGCACCAGCAGCATTCTCTACTCCGTGTTTGGTAAAGCTCTCTTATTTTTGAAGTGGTACCATGCATATTTTGTACTCCACTGTAAAGGACTGCTAGTGGATGTACAAGTTGCAGTTCTCTAAGGTACCCGTATTTTAATGTCCAGTAAATCAACCAGTCTGTTTGCTTTGCTTAGTTACACAGCTCACCAAATGTTTGTTAAAAACAACATCCTGTTTATTTCATGTTTTCCTTTCCCTGGAAGAGCTTATTTTTCCCCTTTAAATAACTTCCAAAAAGCATTTAAAAATAAATCTTGTAGGTAATCCCAAATTACTATCCTCTAGAAACCAAACACTCCTTCATGGTTCTTTGCACCCAGTGGAATTTTACAGACCCAACCAACAAGGTTTGTCTGGATATGGAGAAATAACAGAGGGAGATACAGGATATAAATAGGGTTTGAGATTTTAAAATCTTTTCACTCCCTGCTTCCTCCCAAATAAAAGTCTCTCCATTTCGGCAACCCAGCGGAAGAATCTGATGCAGTAAAGATTTCCTGTAAATACTACAAAAAGTGTGGCAATTTGTGCAACATAAAAACCATCAACTAAAAGGCAGCCTCTTGGCTCACTCAGCACCATTTTGGAAAAAGATAACAAATGACAGCGAGGGCGGTTTTTTTTAAGACTCCCCCCCTAAAGTCATGCTTGTTCTATGCTTCAACCAAAGGATTAGTAGGGAACAGGAAAACCTGGTAGAAAAAACAGAGATTATTTTTCCCTTGCATCCCCTGGATCTGGGAAGGAGGAACCTCAAAAGCAATAAACATATCAGATATCTGTGCGATTGCTAAAGGCAGATGGGAAAGTTTCATCTGGCAGAACCCAGAATATAGCTCATGTAGAAGGCTGAGCATTGAGGCTATAATTGTGATAAAGGCCTGGACAGATGCTCTGTACTTGCCCTGTAGATTCCAGGTAAGAACTCTTTTTCTGCAGGAAGATTTAAAATACCCACTCAGACTTGAGAGGTCCCCAAAAATGAAAGTTTTATCAAGACTGACAAAGAGACTTCTAACACCCAAGACGCTACTTCCAGCAGTATGAGTTAGCAGTCACATCGTCTATTGTGTAGTGGCACTGTTCTGATGAAACCTCCCCAGACCAATTCCTACTTGGATCCGTTTTCAATTTACCGGTGCTCAGGTTTCTTTCCTGAAGATGCATACAGAACAGCTTCAGAAGTACTATTTAACCTTTTAGCAGGGATTGCATTTCCTTTTAATGCATGTTTGCAGAAGCAGGGTTTGAACTCCCCTAAAATTTCACCATTACTTTTCCATTGGTCCTATAAAAAGTCTTCCAACATATTTCAATGTTGTTAGGAGCTGCTTTGCTTTATTTGCTTTCCACAAACAGAGCTACTTAGGGGGATGAGGAACACAAGTTACCATGGAGGCAAAAAGGGTAGAGGATTACTACATATCACCTGCCCTGCAGTAAATGCCCCAGAGTAAGTGAAAGCTAATTCACAACAGCTTAGGTCTTCCATCAGATTCCTTCAAGATTTAAATTTTTTGTTGTCTAATGCCCAAATGTTCCATTTTCTCAGATAATTCTTTCTGCCCCATCATCATTGACAGGCTTCACATCTTTTTTCTTGGTTAAAGAGGATGTACCTCCAGGTTTGAGCCCTCCGTACCCATTGTATTTACTTTCCAGTCCTAAAGCAAGTCAAACAGATTTCATTATCATATCTAAGCTGATATTGTAACCTATGTCTCTTATAACCTTTACTACCAGGCCTTCAATTATAGCCAACTGTTTAACAGCTGTTTTACTGGGTGTTTCAATTCAACATCCACCCTGGGAAAAGAGGGACGCTTTGCTAACTAGAACTGAAAGTTCTTGTTTTGAGCCATATTTTTGGAAGTGAGTAGGTTTGGACAGTTCCTGGCATCAACCAGGAATGCTCTACAAGCCTGATCCAAGTCCAATTATAAGCCAACCAGAGCTCTGATAAGTTTTAATCAGGCCTGATACTTGGAGATGAAACGAAGCAAAAAAACACCACTACGAGAAAAATCACACATCTGGCACAGGAATAAGGATGCAAATTAAAACCACACAAAACTGCAGGATGAGGAAGACAGCCACAACAGAAAGATTTAATTCAAAGAATTTCCCTCTGCCTGCAAATAAGGTGAGCAGGTACATTTGCTTAACTTGTTGCAAGTGACTAGACCCTAGTTACAGAAGCTAATATGTTTGTTTGCAGACCTCTGAAGTCCAGATTGATCTTTTATTTTGTTTTGGTTCTTTAAGGCCAGATTCTATCAATTTCAAAAGTCAATTCTCCCACACACCACTGCATTTGCTTCCATGCTATTTCAGAGAATTGTAAAGAGCTCTACACACAGAGAACCATAAGAGCCTAAACTTCAGAGGTTTATGGGTTTTTTTAATTAAATTACATCTATTGCTGTCCCCCAAAGCTTCCTTTTTGCAAGGTGGGAAGCTTATTGAATTGATTCTCTAATACAGTGAGTTGCACTCCTGTTGAAGGCACTGGTAGGAGGTCAGGTTTACACTGTACACTCCTTAGAGTAAACAGGATCTCCTCCCAGGTATAAGACACGGTATGCTCACTATTTCCAAACACAGACTATTCTATGGGATCTGGGATGATCAATTATTCTTTGG